GGTCTTTCCGGCATTATTGAGCATCAGTGTTTGGCCGCTGATCATCATGACTGCAACTTGGATCTTCTTGACCAGGAAGCTCACCAAGTCTCTCCTGTATGATTAAATTAACACTCATACAAAAAGCAAAATAAAATAAATAATGAAAAATCTAAAAGGAAAATTTTGGTGCCCAGTCAAAAACTTGAGCACATGCAGGCAGAATGAGTGAAAATTATTTTTAAAATTTATAAGATAATATCCCCCTGACACAACCGATGACACATTGGTTCTAGAGGGAGTGCTAAATTTTATATATTGACTCGAATATTAGCAGAAAAATACCTTTAAAGAGGTACTCTGAGCAAGAAGTTGCTCGTATTCACTCTTTATATGAGCCAGTTCTGCCTTGAGAGTTGCATTCTCTTTTTTCAAGGTTTCAGCACGCTGAGCCAGTTCATCACATTCTGCCTGAATTTCATGTACAAATAATAAGGCAAACTATCAGATATATTGAGATACCGAGTAAATAAAACAGAAGGAATTGTCAATCGAGAATTACCTGCTTTCTCAATCTCGACCGACGAGCAGATTCCCTGTTTGACTGCTTTCTTCTCTGTCTTTTCAGCTCTCTTTCATCCTAAACTCAAAGTAACATATATGCATAAGCATTATCATAACACATAAACACATTAAGCATTATCCTATTCTATAATTCACAATCAAGGCATATAGGATAAGTTGAAATTCCCATTGAATGTTATGTGGTACTGACTTCCTTCTCTCCTAACCCACCAACCTAAGTAAATATAAGATCCCACTTATTTACACAGATATTCACAGAGATTAGTCCCATTATAGTCTCAAAAGAACTGATGATACTTGGGAAAGTACTGCACTTTATGGTTAGATACTTCTCATCATGATCATCATCAGATCAAGAAATGTCAAGTTTGAGCGAGAGGTAAATTGCTTATTTATATCCAAATCATAATAAGTAGGCCATAATTAACTAACATTGTAGCAAACACTTCACTTAAACTTGCACAACAGATCGCTGTATTCCTAGACAAGAATGAAAAGAAATCAATTCTGTAAAGCACTGGAGTAAATTACATAATGGTCTCTTAGAAAAATACAGAAACAATAATTATCGTTGAGACAGGCAGAAAAATGAAAAAGACGCGCATCTCCTCCTAGCTTCTACTGGACAAGCTATAAACTAGTCCAGTTACAAAACATTAGCACCAACAATCAGTAAAGCAAGGTTGAATCGAGAAAAACTTAAAAATGTGTGTGTGTGTGTGTGTGTGTGTGTGAGAGAGAGAGAGAGAGAGAGAGAGACTGTTTGGTTAAGATAAACAAAGGAAAACCTGAATCCATAGCTGTGACTGTATGCTGTCTCGTGATCCAGCAGTAACCATTCCTGCTGCAACTGGTGCAGCAGATACCTTACCCCTCACTGCAGGAATAGAAGATGAGGGGATAGTACCCCAATAATCCATTCCAATATGTAAGTTAGTAGGGGGCCCAGGAACACCACTCACTGCACCCACTGCTGAATATGGCACCAATGCTTGATTTACCATTGGTCGAGAGATATTCGGTCCTCCATTTTGGGAACTGTGACCCGTGCTACCATTCTGAGATGGTTCTGCTGTAGCAAGATATCATTCATAACAAGTGTCAGAAAAGGAATATGAATTTCTTGAGGCATAAGGAGTAAATAACTCATAGTCCCACACCTGAATCTTGCTGACCAGCAGATTTTACTTGTGAACCCTGTAGCAAGTGTAGGAAAAGTTAAGACGGGATAACAGATTAATTTCACACTTGAAAATGCTATTGCTAGCAGATATAATGATCATAGGTTGCACTAGGAAAGAGCCAATGTTATTACAACGTTCATAAACAGAAGTAGTTATTCAATGATTCATTTGATATGTGCTTCTTTCTCTATATGAGGACAGTTTTCAGGGAATAACAAATTTCTTTGCCATGTTGCTTTCATTTACGCACAGGGAACATCATGTTCTCTGTTGCATCCCAAATTCATGTAAACATCATGGCACAAACACAAACCAAAATATTGTTTATGGCAATTGCATAACAATGGTCTATTAAAAGAAAATTATTTATTCTTAATTCTCAAAGATGAGAGAGAGAGAGAGAGAGAGAGAGCGCACTACTGGCTACACTTAAATAAAAACGTTACTCACTTTAGATGAACAGTTACGGTTCACCAGCGATTTGATTTTGCTCTTCAGATAGGACATTCATTTGAAGATTGATGCACATAACAACACACATGTTTTAAATTTCAGTGACTCAATGAGAATTATTGCATCAACACTTACATTTTGGGAATGTGTATCACTTCCTCCACTTGAACCTTCACTTGCACTTTCAGCACTACAAAACATAACAGCACACCACATTGAGATAAAAATTCAACTGATCACATGAGTCGCAAGGTCATTCTATGCTTTCAAACATGTGTGACAACAGATAGATTCTATTTATTATAACAAATTCACACCTACTTACAAGCAAACATGATATAAAAGAACCATTGGGAAAGTCACAGTCAACAAAAAGAATGAATAAAGGTAAGCGAGAGAAAGAGAGAAAGGAAACCAATATCTATCCCATTCCCATGACAAAACAACTACCAGGACCAAGTATGTTGTCATATTTAGATTGAATATTTAAATTTTCCCAACTCCCCTTTTCTCTCATCCCATCCTTCAAGTAACCTTAAAATAAATATTAGATATACAGAATCTTATTAGTTTTTTACTTTGTTATGTGTCCCTTTTGGTTGAGAGCTCTATGTCCGCCCCTGTAACAGGAAGTAGTCAACATTTATTTGTGGCCCTACTCATAATCTCCATCACGTTCTCCTTACCTTTTAGAATTTTGACCATTTGGAGTGGCACCTGACGTTTTACCAGGCTCGTTATTTTTCCCAGTAATCATATTTAAACTGCCCAAACTTCCCTTGGATCTTTTGACTGGCAATTTTCCTTTTGCCTCAGATGACTTGCCGTCCACCTCCATGTTGCCTGAAGCATTACCCTTTTATACGCATGTGAAAAACAATTATGATAAGTTCATGAAAGTAAGTCCTTAAAAAACATAAATAAATGGAAAAATGAAAACAGAAACAAATCTCATGTGCTAAAGATACTCACAGAGGCTTCGGCAATGCCATTTGGAGAAGGCATAGCAAAGGGACTGAACGGATAAGATCCCTAAACAAGTTTAAAGAGAAAAGGAAAGTTTAGGAGCATCTTGATGATATTATTTTGACACTACAATTACCAAAAGAAAGCAAGTACCGGAGCCATAGTTGGATGGGCATAAATACTCCCATGAGGGTACATGACATATGGAGGCGGTGGAGTGCCATAGGGCGGAATAAATTGCTGGAAAGGGCAAAGTTCAGATGGCACAAAAATAGGATTAAATATTCCGAAAAATGAAAAAGAGCATACATTTCACTTATTAAAAGAAAGAGGATATGATTCTAGTCTGATGTATTTGAAGAAGATTTCTATCTACAATATGTAACTTAGAGAACCACTGGTTTGTCATGATGCCATTTGGCTTCCAAGGGCAGCCTTGATAATGCTCCAGCCTCCAAGTCTCTTAACTTAATCCATATTCTAGTAGAAAATATTATTGGACGAACCAATCTCATTTAAGCAAAATTTTATATTAGAAAACTAGAAATGCTCCAGAATTAGAATGTTTGCAAAATCAAGTTGCACAGCGTCAATTCTGCAGAGTCCTTAAATAGTGCTAGAAACAAAGCAAACTTCACAAGATGCATACTTGGACTCCCCACATGTAGGGGTGCGCTTGTGGACTTGAAGCTAAGAACCCAGGTGGAGGAGGTATAGGAGAATAAGCCTGCAGAGAGAATTTTTAAAATATTATGACCTTTGCAATGTCAATGAAAAGAAGGAAGGGTACATCTTTCGAACATGTTAACCTGAAACCCAGTCCAATCAGATGCAACTGCCCCAGAAACAGCTGAACTCTGCTCCTGAAATTCGTAAAAAGAAGGAACATTCCAAATAAGCCAAGAACAACATGAATCCATCCAACAGTTAACACGCAGTATTACCTGTGCAGCAGGTGTTTTCGGCTCCTTTTCTTCTTTCCCTTCCTTAGAAGATTTATCAACTTCACTACTACCCATGATTTAAAATTGACTTCTTTCTATTCAATACTGTCCACTTTAAACCATCCTGTCACAAACATGTTACAAACCAATTATTAAAGGCTTGGAAAATTTGAAACAAAAGATCATTTCCGACAGTTTAAAACTGAATGCATAAAATCTATTTCGGTATCAGCCAATTATTTCGAGCAAAGGTGCACACGCAATCATAAACAATAATCTTCACTCCCAAATTTTATTCTTTCAGATAAGACTCGTTAGAATTATTCAGCAAACAGATAGCTTTTCTTAACCGAAATCACCGTACATAAAATCTCCAGCTCAAGAAAGTTTTAAGCTTGTGAAATTATCCACACAAAGATTAAAAATACATGCACAAAGATTTGTCCCACCAAAGAAAAGAGGTACACAAAGATGGAAAAACTTGAAGGATATTCACATAAATCACAATAATCACTAGAACATGACGAAGATATATAGATTCACGCAACATGAATTAAAGAAAACGTCATACCAGAAATAGAAAACCAGCCCCGATTCGGAGAACAAGAAATAATGAGTCAACTGAGCTCCACGACAGCTCGAAACCCCACTTTTCTATTTTAGCTCTATGTTTTTGAAAGAGAAGGAAATATAGAAGAACAAAAAGGGGGAAGAAACCAAAATATCGGGAATATCTGAAACTTGTGTGACTGGTTGGGAATAATGAAATTGGGGTGGAATAAGGGAAGACAAAATTAGGGGTTTGATGGTTAGATCGACGACATGGTTGAGACTTGAGAGTCGTTGTCCCAAGGATTTGCAGAGCGGAAGAGAGGGAGAAAGTCGATGTGGTGTCCACCTTGGATTTGATGGGGTTGATGATTGGATGCGGATCGTGGACTATTTAGCAGCTGAGATCGAGCCACGTATACCGCCGCTCACACGCATCTGGCATGTTATATTCCCGGCCCGGGTCCAATCTTGGGTCAAGTAGATACTGGAGTTGGACTGACCCTTTTAAGGCGGCCGAGGGCAAACCCGAACCCACAAGAAGGCTCAATTTTTTGTAACGGTATCAATTTGAGACTTGAATTTTCGTTCTTTATTAGTACAAGGTTTGATAAAAAATAATAAATATTTTTATTAAAATTACATTAATAATAAAATGAAACTATATAAATAACAATTATGCAAAAGTTTAATAATAATTATTTTCAAAAATTGATAATTTAAAAAATATGCAATTGATATATTATATTTATTAATAATATAAATAGATAAGTAATAAACTAAAAATATAATATTTAAATAATGTTGCCTTCATTTTTAACTTTTCTTTTTCGATGCAAAAGTTGATACCATGCCATTGTTGGCTGAAAATGATATATTTCTGTAGACTTATTTAAATATTATTTTTTAGTTTTATTACATATTTAAATTATTAATAAAAATAATATTTCCATTACATATTTTTTAAATTCACTTATCAGCTTTTTAAAATAATCATTATTAAACTTTTGCAGAAATAAAATTTATATAGTTTAATATTCTTATTGAGGAAATTTTACTAAAGATATTTATAATTTTTTGTTATAAGTATGTAAATACAAATTACAAAGAAAAAAAAAATATTTTTGTTCACATAACTATATCATAATATAAAGTTAATTGGTCCACGTATTTATATCAAAAAGTAAAGTTAGTTAAGCCTTACAATGAAAAGTTAATTAAGTAGTGACCCTTAAATTGAGAATAACCTAAAATGTAAGTTTTCTATTCAGAAATAAGGTCTTAAATTGATATAATTTCAAAAAGTTAGGTCTCGTAATGAAATTTCCCAAATTGAATCATTTTGTGTTTCACTAGTGTTTGTTTCGTGTTATCCTTTTTTTTTTCCCGAAAAGATAGAGATATTATATAACTAAGAACCGCACAAAGTGTGAAGAGAAAACAGCCAAATGCTGAAAAGACTGAGAGAACAGATCCGAAGATCGCCTAGAGTCTAACCTAGCAACGCTAGAAAAACATACTCACGGCAATACAAAACACAAAAAGAAAAACTATTAACTCCCAAACAGGAGACTAGAATGATATGTCGAAAAATGTGCACTTTTTATATATTTACTGATGTATTTTTATACACTTAATTTATTCGCACATTTATAATTTTCCGACTTATTTATTTATTAGATAGATTCTGGTGCTTTGATATTTTTATTGTTTATTTTAGGATATTGGAGTGTTTTTATGGACGACGAGACGTCGAATGAAGGTTGAAGCAGACAGTACGGGGGAGCCTCATACTCTGCTGCCAACAGAGTTGGTATCCCATACTTGGCCCAATATAGGCCACATATTTGGGTCCCAAGAATGGATATATTATGTAATGGGCCAACATTTGAAAGTGCTAAGTGAAGGTGGGCTGATTTTATTAATATTAGTGGGTTCATGACTCATTATTATTTCAATTGGGTTGCAGCATTTGATATTTTATCACTGTCCGTGATTTTAGTAGTAAATTGATTTATTCAAACCCCTTTTTAATTATTATCTTTGTGATTTCAATTAAAGAAAAATAATTGCAACTCGATTACACACTCTTTTTAGTAGTAAATTGATTTATTCAAACCCCCTTTTTAATTATTATCTTTGTGATTTCAATTAAAGAAAAATAATTGCAACTCGATTACACACTCTCTGTGGGTTCGACCCCTACTCATTACTACTACTAGTTGGTAGAAATCGGTTAAGGAAAAATATAAATTATAATTTTGCCGCGTTGCGACACACGGTCATAGAACAATCCCAACAAGATAATATCCGCTCTCACTCGGGCACAAAACAAGGGCCAAGGACCCAAACCAAAAAAACGAACTCAACCAAACAAAAGCAAACAAACGAATACACGAGAAGAAGAAAAAAACTAAGACAACTACAACAAATAAAGAGCCCTTCCTCAACAAATCTACCGATCAAACAATTGACCCCTAGGAAACCTCCGCTGCACAAGAAACCGCCGAAACTGGCGAAAAGCCCAGGCCCCGGCCTAACCTGTGAGCAGACCTTCCCCTTCACTGAAGGGCAAAGAAACCCAAATCGCTTCCCTCAACACCACATCCCTTAACCAGCTAACACCACAAGCCAACAACAGAGAAACGAAGAAAAGGGGTTTGAAAGGGCACCTCAGCCCGCACGATGCACCAACGGCCACATGGACAAACACACTAGAGTAGAACTCAGCCCAAGAATACTGCTCCCGAAACTGCCGACGAAGGCCTAGCGGAAATCGCATCCCAAAACTTCAACCCACTCCAAAAGATGACCCGCTCCGTGGCCGGAAGAGAAGCAAACTCCACCGCCCCCACCCCCGCCGACACGAACTCAACTAACACCACTAGCCGAATTCGACCGCTCGGAGACCCCTTGAACCCAACCCCAAGAAAAACAAAGGAAAAGGGGCGAGGAAGATGCGACATCCTCAGCCCCGGCCGCCCCGACACCGACGTCGCAAGCGGCCCGAGCCACACTCAGCCCCAACAACGAACCCCATGTAGCACGCCTCAACATGTAGGAAGACGCGACGAGAGAAAACCTGAAATCGGCAAAATCATCGTAGATGTCCGACATCAATCCCCTATGAAAACCGACTAGAAGAGGTGGAAACTGGGGCCAAGGGTGTGCAACCAATGGCCAACCGCCGGCTAGAGGGTCCGGCAACCCGCTGAAGAAGGCAACGATTACGGATCTGGAAAAGAGCTCCAACTGTGGAAAAAGGGATCTGAGGGAGAAATTGCTTTTTTTTTTTTGTCTTAATAAAAGATTTGATCTTTTGTGTTATCTACTTAGACATGTTTGTTAGCATGGATGGGACAAGACAATTGTTATCTAGGTGTTCGAGATTGTGTTTTAGAAATTGGATGAACATTATGTTTGTTTGGGAGAATTGATGCAAGATATGATTTTTTTTTTACTTTATTTGTTCGATGTTTGTTAGCATGGGCTGTAAATTGGATAAACTCCATATTTTATCAATTTACATCATATCTTTAATGTACATTTATTTATTATTTATTTTTATACGAGATCACCTCTACTACTGGCTCCTCACTGGAATTTTAATGTGTGTGTTAGTTGTCTTGTTGTCAATCTAAAAAATAGTAAAATGTAATTTCTAGTATATCCATACCACATAAAATTGACTATGACCGAATTTTGTCAATAATAATGGTAATATGAAAATTAGTAAAATATTATATCTAATAATATATATAATTAGTATTTTCTTACCTTTTTTATCGGGTAGAGCGCTCATGCCAGTAACGTGTTATAAATATGAAGAAAGAGATAAAGAACCGAATATAAGAACTAGATATAAAATATACTGATTTTCTTCTTTCTTCCCTATATCAAATTCCATTACATTCCATGACATTTTATTTCCTATTTTGATACATGCATCACTTTATTATTTGCAATAGTGATAAAATCATTGTTCATAACATATAGGTGTATAATAATGCCCGATTAAAGGACCCTTATACGGCCAATGGTTGTGGACTACTTTCGGGCAATCTGGCCATTCCTCCTCCCAACCTACACTTTCGTACTTTCCGCACTTGACCCCCAAAACAGTCGCATCCCTCGACAGAGAAGTTTCTGATATTGAGATCGTTGAAGCCCTGAAGAAGATGGGTCCTCTAAAGTCGCTAGAAGTCGATGGGCTGAACGCCCTCTTCTTTCAAGGCTAGGGGGACTTAGTTGGCCCATCGGTCTTCTTTATGTGATCTATTAATTGATGACAAAGGTGTTGACCTACCGTTTAAAGCTGGCCCTCCCTCTTTTAATTGGCCCTGCCTAGGTTAGCTTGGTCCTTGGACGTCACATCAAAGATAGTATTATTGTGGCCCAAGAGCTGATTCATTCTATGAGAATTAAAACTGGACCCAAAGGCTATATGGTGGTGAAGGTGGACCTAGAAAAAGCTTACGACTTCTTGTGTTAGGATTTTGTGGAAGCGACTATTGTAGCCGCCGACTTCCCAGCTAGCTTTATCGCTAACGTAATGAAGTGTGTCTCTTCGTCCTCGATGCAAATTTTATGAAACGACACTCCCAACAACAAATTTGCGCCCTCTCGGGGAGTGACACAAAGTTATCCCATTTCAACGTACCTCTTCGTTTTATGCATTGAACAGCTTCACACACACACTATTCAAAGAGAGGTCGAGAATGGGCATTAAAGACCAATGACTATGGTACAAGGGGCCTTAAAAGTACCTTACTTATTATTTGCTGATGACCTTCTTGTATTTTTAGAGGCGGACATTAGTCAAGTTGATGTTTTTAAGAGGGTGTTGGGAACCTTTTGCGGCAAATCCGAGTTCAAGACTAGCGAGCCGGAGACCACTGTATTCTTCTTAAAAAATGTTCTACCTGATATTTGAGAGGATTTGGCCAGTAGACTGGGATTCTCGCTCGTTGATAACCTTGGAAAATATTTGGGAGTTCCGCTTAGGGTTGATAAACGGACTTATGCTCATATTTTAGACAAGGTAGAATCGAGCTAGCGGGATGGAAAGCTTCATCTCTTTCGTTGGCGGGTCGTTTGGTTCTAGCACAGTCAGTTGTAAGCTCGCTTCCACTTTACACCATGCAGTCTGTGTGGGTCCCGAGTTCTGTATGTAACAACATTGAAAAGATTTGTAGACAGTTTGGGGAAGAACCAGGGAGCCGCAAGCTAAGCTTAGTCTGCTTGGTGGATATAAGCAAGCTTCGCCATGAAGGTGGCTTGGGAATGAAATCCCCAGAGGAAGATGAATAAAACTCTGCTGATGAAACTGGCTTGGGGATTCGTGACAAAGCCGGACGCTCTTTGGGTTCGCATTTGGAAAGTCAAATATGTAACAAACCCGTTTACTTCACGGAGCCTCAACTCCGCCTCAAACATCATACAAGCTACACACAAGGTT